TCGGATGCATTGTGAATCCAGCATTAAACCTTGAAGAAACATTTTCATACGACAAGCATCATCGTACAAGATATTGCTAGCTGAAATATCTAGAAAATAAGCTCTCCTAATGGCTACGTTTACACCGTGCATTTAGGCCGCGGCCTATACAATAGATGTCCTTGTTTATCTTGTAGGTTAAACAAAGACACCTATCGTATAGGTCGCGGACTAAGCACACGGGGTAAACGTAGCCATTGGACATCAAGGCTGTGTTCCAAAGTTGACTGCCAGTACTGAAAATCTATAGTGCACGTAACGTAAACTGTAGCATTTTCTGTACTGGCAGTAAATTTGGAACACAGCCCAAACGTCGCACGTCGGATATCGTATGCAGTGTGAATCCTACATTGGGTATGTTCCGAAATTAGCTGGAAGTACTGGCGCTGCTGTTACTGAATTAACTGACTTTTGCTGTTTCGAAATGTAAGATTTTACTGTCTAGTACTGAATTTTGGAACGGAAAAGCAGTAAAAGAATGTTATTTGTACTCTGTACGTAACCTTAATATTTTCAAGAGATCGAAATACAACCGAATTCTGACGTATAACCGATATGGACCGACGTGTTTTATCAAATATTATTGAAATTATACTGGAAAACGATTCAAGCAGTGACAGTTCTGATGATGACATATTATTACATATATTAAATCAGATTGATGGCAAACGCGGATCATTGCTACTAAAACCTCGTGTACAGAATTACATTCAAAACGTAGTTTCTGTATTATCAAACGTAGACTTTAAATCACATTTTCGGTAAGAAAAAGTTATTTATGTATATTGAAAATATACTTAATAAAATATATGTAATATTCATTATTTGTAATAACGTATGTATATTATTTGTAGAAATGTGTGTACCATATCGCTATACTATTTTATAAATATATACTACTTTATAAAAAATAAATAGCACTGTGTATATACTATTATCGGTATCTACAATCTCGTATGACTTTAATTTTGAATCCATAATTCTTTTTTTCTTTCGTACTTCCAGTATTAAACTTATCACGATCAGACGATTTCACGCTCCGTGCTCTGTTACTGCTTTTACTGTATTTGCCTCACCTCTTGGGATGGAGTAGAAACAACCGGAAGTCAGCAATCCCCTAGGGTCAATTTATGCAGAATGAATAGTAACTTGCAGTAACTGACAGCATAAGAAATTCTATTTTGGAACGATAAATCAGTGCTGTCAGTACTGCCAGTTAAATTCGGAACATACCCATTATATCAATGGAGCCCCAGAGATAATTGCAGAACACCTATATTATCGACACTGGTAACTAGATCGGTAACAGTAGATCCCTGTATTACTACATTGTCGATAATCGATTAAACACTTCAATTTATCAACGATAGATAACGCGATTACCGCCACCTAACGAGGAGACGTAACCGCGACCTCCCGACCTGTTCGCGTCACGGACAGCCCGTCAGACGGACGGAACGGAGCGGGAGCGAGTGAAAGAGAGACGAATAGATAGTGACAGGTTCGTGAGATGAGATACGAGACGTTAGCGAGGAGAAGGTGGCACTGGCAGTTTCCCGAGTGAGAGAGAGGCGATCTGTTTTTCGCGCTCTCGGGACAGCGTCGCGTTTCTTTTTTTTTTGTCTCCCCGGCGGGGAGCGACAACGCGACGCTACGCGACGTGACACCTCGCGACGCCACGCGCCGCGGTGCCCGGTCGCCGAAGGAAGAGGAGAGACCGCGAGAAGAGTGGAGGCTGTTACCGTTCGCTGCTGGTAAACATGTTACGTTCGCGCAGCGACGACAGCGAGAGGAGATCGTACGTCGTACGCCAACCGGGACCACGGACCGCCGTCGCTGCCAAATAAGTCCGCGCGCGCGGCACGAACATGGCCTCGTCTACGAGGAGGTCCTGGAAGCTCCGTAAGATCCATCGTTCATGGGAATACGAATATCCTGGCACGCGCGAGCGCGCGCCATGCGCTCTCTCACGCTCTCTCTTTCCCGCTGCATCGCTCCTTTTCTTTCTTTTTTTCCCTTCTCCGCGAGAATCCTGCTTTTCCGCGAGGTTTCCGCGAGTAAACAGTCTCTGTTTACTTTCTCACTTTAGCTGCTACCTCGCAGTTTCTTCCAATTATGGTTACATCTGGCACAAACCGGGAATTTGTCCCGCGGCGAGAATGAGAAGTCGTTTTCTCGCACGGTAGCAGGAACTGGATTATAATGGACGGAGATTTTCCGCCTGTTTTTACGGATGAACAGTTTATATTGGAGGAATGACAGTTCTGTTCTTTTTAAATAAGACAAGGGTATTGAATAGTTGGCTAGAGATTTATTTGATGCTCGTAAAACTGCAAGCAAATTCAATGAAACTTCAATGTTCAACTTTTGCTCCTCCAATAATTAACTTCCCATTCTTAGCTAAACGTCACAAATCATCAATAAGTAAGTTTGAATTATAGATAAAAATATTAATTTGGAACAGAATAAATATATATATACATATATATATGTGTATATGTAAATAGAGATTATTTAAATTATAAAAAATTTTAAAAATACACTATTAGCTTATTTTTACTTATCGGTGGAAATGAGCCAATCTTTTTAATTTTTCAATCTAAATATGTAATCTCTATATATTCTGTTCCAATTCATCATTTTTGATTATGTGATCAGGACTTATTGATTTGTGGCCTTTAGCCTAAGAATAGGAAATTATTTATTAGAAGAACAGAGGTTGACATTGAATTTTCAATGTCTGTAGTTTTATGAGCAAGTGAATCTCGTAGAAGTCAAATTTATCAGTTCCATGAAATCAAAAGTGGAAAAAATTGATGAAAAATCATAAACTGTTTTGGTAATAGATAGATAGATCTTTATTAAACTTCAGCATTACAACTGCCAAGAAGGGACTTGGTTTATAATAATAAATTTCTTAACCACACTCATCCTTCCACACTGCAAAAAGAACCTAACACTATTTGACTCTGTCTAAATTTCCTTATGCTACTACGCCGCAGAGAAAAAAAATCTTATTCTCTACTTTTAACTGTTTTGGTAATAAAACTAAGAAATTCATAAGTAGTGGAATTAATTAGTTTGATCACTTCTGAGAGGCTCATGTGATTCTTATTTATCAAGTAAATAGATTGATTTTTCTCCAACATGAAAAAAGGAAATTATATAATCCTTGTATGTTCAAAAGTAAATCAATCTGAATAAAAATTATTCGTGTTATATAATCTTTTATATTGCATTTCTTGCATTATATTAACATGAATAAATCAGTATGCGTGAAATGTATGCTCTTCTTTTTTTGGCACAGAGGAATTCGTCGCCCATACGCCGAACGTCAATTGCTTGGCGTTGGGCCACA